TTTATACATTTTATACTTAGCCTGAAATAGCATCTATTGGCAAGAATGATTCCTAGTTGAATCTCTACTGGTTCCGAGAAAAAAGGGTTTCTACACCTATCTAAGCCTTCTACCATCTTCTAACAGCATTACCATCTTCTGTACAAACAGCTTTATATGGAATGCAGTAAAAATGTCGCAACTGAAATTATGTGGCGCCTGAGGCATTACGAAGAGGAGCGGAAAACTCTTTCACAGCGCACATTAGCGTGGAGGGGGTTTCCAAAAGGAATAGCTGCAGTGACATAACTGCAACGATAATAAATAATTTGAGCTTCGTGCTCGGGACGATCTCTTGCAAATAAACCAAATCGGTGATCCCGAGAGGGCAAACCATCGGACATTAGAGTGCTTTTGGCGAGTTGAAGTCTCACACTGACTGCGCTTTCGAGCGCTTTACACCTCGTAAAAAGAAAATCGTCTCCACCTTTTTGGGTCCCACGACGCTCAATAGACTTATGCGTTGACAGAAAATAATTTGTTTCTATAACTATGCCCGGAAAAAGAAACTAATTTCTTTACGTAATATTTTTAAAAAAATTTCCAATAATTTCTTTTCAGTTTGCAAGTATTTTCTAATCTCTAGATTCCAATGTGAAAAATATTCCCAAGGCCAGAAACGCGACTCATTCAAACGTTAATGCATCGCGGCACCAAAGTCAACATTAGTTCGAGATAATCAAATGCTTTTTATACACTTTTTCAATTTTCAAGTGCAACAACATAGCGAACAGATTCTTCTTCATTTATCACTTTAAAAACAAAGAAAATATTATTTCAATATATACAATAGACTATGTATGTGGAACGTGTGTGTATAGACGACTATTTGATTTTGTGTTTCAAACGAAAACGCCTTTTAACACCAGATTGTTTCACTATAAACGCAACCCACACTTCGCACTCCTCAAACCCCCTCCAGAATTTGAAAAAAAAGACTGCATAACGAATGCACATTTTTCGCTACGATCATCAAATTGGCTAATCAGAGCTTTCACTGTACCCGTGCACTGCGAAAATACGTATAATACACATCCAACCGAAATGACCATGAAACTCTGCTAAACAAATTCGCAAATACGTTGTGTAAATAAGTTACAAGCTGATTAGTTCAACTATCTGCAGTTCAGTTCAGAGATACTTGCAGATAAGTTAAGTGCAATTCATGAGTTTGAAAGTCATTCATGTTACGTACTCGTATAAATAGATTTTTTCTCTCCTTCACAACTAGCAAGATACATAAAAACTTAGATGTGTGTGTCGTAGTACTTTTTATAACCTAATATTCTTTATTCAAGAGACTTCTTCATCTATTTAATTCTATTTTTTACTTGATGGCTTTATTGCAGTTATAAGTAATACTCTTTATTTTATATAAAAACCAAAACAATAGGTTAGGTTAGATTCAGAGGGCCTCTGCTAATAGCACACTCAGCACTTTCACTCGAAGACATCTATTGTCCTTAAGAAGTTGGAGAACAGTAAAGAGAGCTAGATCTGCAGAACAAGATGGCACCAACCACCCTCCGAAATAATGGTTATATATAGTTCCAGAGAGATGTATGATTGAAAATATGTACAGTGAATGCATACTGTTAGCACAGGCTATCAGTATTTTTTGAAGATTCCACATTCGTAGCTAGTAAATACATCTATTGTCCATTGTAATGTTCTCTAAGCCGCCAGTGAGATCGTTGTAATCTCCATACTAAAACAACAACTCCCTTTAAATGATGTCTTTCTGTTTACCTAGTTGCACCACATTTCCTCTATTATCAATTCAAACCTAACTTTAATCTGTGAATGGGTATCATATAATGAATATTATGTATTACTGAATTTGCTTTCTACTATTCTTCTTCAAGTCGTGAATAGTATACCGCTACGCTGTAAAAGTAGTAAATTCAGTGGCATACCAAGCGGAAGTCAAAGCAGTCAATTATGCACTTTACGCAACTCATAGAAGGGCGCCAAATGCTTCCTAAGATAAGAATATACTACACAATTTATAAATGTATATTTTTTGGGTGGGGAGATCGGGCAGCAGTCATGTTTATCGCAATACTATTAGACTTTCACCAAATTATCTGTAGAGTAGTATTGTTATTGAATCTTGAGAAAATGTACTTCATCAATTTGTACTTACGTTTTTTTTTTGTAGCTCTAACTTGAGAAATCGAAGCTTGCAGATTTTCTCAAAACTCTAGGTGACTTTAACCACAGTAAGGCAATATTTTTTTTTTTGATCAACTGAATTGTCCCAATATTATTATTCAATCTTGTGAAAAAGTACTTTCTAATCTAATCCAATGATTAAATTTACCCTCATATCCTCCACTTATGCTCTTATTCTTACTCTTCCTTTACAAATTTTTAGGTTAGCGTGAACTTTTGTATTATTGATTTTTTTTTTTGAGTTTTTAAAAACAAAGAAAAAACATCCATATCTGCTTTACTGTTATACTCATACTTTCAAGATATATCGTTATTCACATATATTTTAGTTTCTCGGTTCCTAATTGAATTCAAAAATGCAAGCTCACAACTGCTATTCATCAGCTAACTACTAAACCATCATCTAATAAGTTTAGTGTAGACATAATGTATATATAATGACTTTACATTATTCTCAAGGCTAGAGCAACTATCGTATAACAAACACACATATACAGCATATTTTAGGTTTCCTAACCGGGTGACAGGCGTTGATTAATTATTGTCTCGACCACCCCATAAAAATTTTAGGAGTACTTTCAAAGCAAAATAACTCGAACGGAAAGAATAGATGCAACCCTATATCCTAAGTTCAGGTACAGTAGATGTTTCTAGATGATTCTACGTCTTATAATGATTTTTGAATCATTATTTTTGTTTCAAAGCTATTATTTTGTAGAGACATCTGTTATGCATATTTTTACTTACTATATGTAAAGCGCCTTTTTTGATAAGCACAAATTATATACGGATTCTAAACGAATTAAGAAATTCGAATATTTCCTAAGACCACTGATCATGAGAACTTGGCAATCCTCGAAACAGCGTTGTAAGGTCAGCCAAATTTCAATAAATTAAATAAAATTTTTCTTCTTGTCTTTTCTTTGCTATTCGAATCCGTCTAACTTTTAAATAGGTTCTTTTCGTCATAAAGACGCGTCACTCTCAGGAAGAAAACATTAGGAAGAAAACATAAACATTAAAAAATTTATATTATATTTAATTAAATGATTGATTGATTGATTAATTAATTATTATGTTATATGTATTATATTTAATCAATTTATTTGTTATCATGTAGAATGAATCATTGTTATAATGGCTATAATATTTTATTGTAAGCTTTATTTAGATTCGTTTCATTCGAACATATTTGAACCCTACTCGCAAGAACAATATAGATAATGATAGAACAAGATAGAAATTACTAATATAGATAATGGTACAATGGGACCTATGAGATCAAATATTTGTCAAATATGCAATTATATTATAGATAGTATATGTTACTATTAAAATGTGCTAACAAATATATATATGTATATAATATCAAAAACTATAATATTATACATTTATAATATATACTGTATATACTTAGGCTTGCTAATTTTGTTCCCTAACGTAACTCATATATTTTTTATATTATTTAATACTATTTACAGTTCTACGTCCTCTTCAGTTTACAAGAACAAAATATCTTGTTCTACCAGTGCCATCTTTTTCTAATTTTTTTCCTATAAATTTTAACTAACAATTTTAGTACTAGGAAACAAAAAAAAAGAATTAGGCACGTTTCGGATTTCCTGGGAACACCTGTTAGACAGTGGATTTTAGTAAAGTCAGCTATACTAAAAAATTTTTTTCATAACGTTATATGTCAATATAGCTTAGTTTATGAGATACCAGACCACCTGGTACGTTCACTTATTCCAACTTGTTCAATCTAAATAATTGAATACATTAATTGACGTTAGCTGAAGCTTATAAAATGGCAACATCTCAAGAAATAGCCTGTATCTAACATATGGTTTAGAATAAGAAGTTGATTGAGATGTCTAACGCTATTAAAATCCATTGCGAAATAGACGCACATAAAAAATCAGTATTACGCCAAATTTTTAATTGAAAGTTAAATAATATTTGCATTCAACATAACTCTATTTAGTATGACACAGTATATTTATGTATTTATTATTGTATACGGTCTGCTTTAAGCCCCCAATAATAACTTATTTCTAAAGATACATAAAAAGCTTAATACAATCCAGAGTTGTGAAGAGTATTACTGCTGGTTTCGACAGAAAGAACCCAGGTCTACATATGTCTAAGTGTTCTAGGATACTATATTAATATAGTGCAAAAATACAACAACATAATATTAAATAATATGTATAGATAAAAATAAAGTATAGAATATATAAACTGTAGTATATATAAAGTATCGCATATATATAATATATAGTTTATAAAAATACAGAATATGTAAAGGGTTAGTATATATAAAGTATAGAATATATAAACTGTAGTATATATAACGTATAGAATATATATAGTATAATTTATATAAAGTACAAAATATATAAAGTGTTAATATATATAAAGTATAAAATATATAAAGTACAGAATATATATAGTGTTAGTATATATAAAGTATAGAATATATAAAGTATAATATACATAAAGTATATATGTAAAGCATAGTTTATATAAAGTATTGTATATATAAAATATGGCATTATTTAAGTATAAATTAATTAAAAAAAGTAACTAATTTTAATGAATAACAATACTGTTAATACAAATTATTACTATATACTCGTATATGTGTAAGGCACAATAAATCTATTATTATTATTATGGCTTTCGAGATATGGTTAAACTACGCAGATTCTTATACACACTTCATTTACTCTCGCCTATACACTCAAAAATTAAAGATTGCATTATATTATATTTCTTGTAAATTACATTTATATTTCATTAACTTAATAAATAAATATTTTGATTGAACTTAAGATTTTGTTAGGAAAAATATTTGTTGCACTCATATTAGTTAATAGTGTACATGTAAATATAGCATTAAATTTCAAAAATTTTTACACAATTCTTATTCACACCTTAAAAATAGCAAACAAAATATGCGTTAAGAAGCATAAAATATACTTAGTTTGTGAATTAATAATAAAAACAATGTTAGCTTCATGGCGCATTTGTTCAAAGTTCTGAAGGCAATTAAGCAGTCTGGCATTGGACGCTTTCGAACGGCGGCCCATTGTCATAGTCATCGTCTTCATCATCCACTCCACCAGTAGCACCGCGGGCATCCTCATCACGTGGCTGTACAGGAACTAATTGTACCTCTTCACCATCTTCTGGCATCTCGAATGGCTCACGTGGTGGTAGTATATCCTCCAATTCTTTAAGCTGTTCAGGTGTTGCAAAATTGTCCTCAGGAAAAATAACACTGAAACCGACAAGGAGATCACCACGATCAATAGGATTGTGATAGATCGGCATACCCTCTCCTTTAACTATTTTAACATCACCATGACGGATAACCTCACCCGGCTTGTTTGATATGCTAATATCACGACCATCCAAATGCTTGAAGCAGTGAACGAAACCGCATAGAGCCTCTGTGATATTTAACTGCTCAGCGCGTAATAGATCATTTTGACGGCGTGTAAAACTAGAATGTTCAGTCTCTATGATAACTACAATAAGATCACCACAATCCCCTGCTATTGATTGATGACCCTCCGACCGCAAGGGGATTTTGGTCATGTGAGTTACTCCCTTTTCTAAGCTCACATCGTGTTTTTTATCCTCTTTAACTAAACCATCACCATGGCATTGTGCGCATTTGTAGTCTTCTTGAACTACGGTACCGCGACCAACGCACGCACGACATGCCTGAAAATATAAAAATTTTTAATATAACAAATAAATAATATAAAACATAATGTATAATGTATGTATATAAATAATATGCAAGTATATATAATTTAATTAAAATGAAAAATATCTCTTCAAGCTTTAGTTTATATATGAAGGGGTATTAATTACACTAGACTATCTATTATTACTATAGATCTTTTGCGCAACTTTTCAATGAAGACAAGACAATTTTAGACTATTAAAAATTCTTACAATTGCTGTCGATTTAATTTTAGCCAAATTAGGTTAGCTTAAGTTGAAGTAAAAGCCTTGTGTACCAAAACCGACTTGAATTTAAATAATGCTCGGTTGTAACGTCCAGATAAGTGTTGTCGATATGCAAACCAAAAGTATCCCTAAACGATAAAAGTGAACCCACTTAAGAAGTCTATAAACTTAATAAAGTTCCTAATTTTGTAGAATGACAGCGACGTCAGCTCAATAAGAATACGAGGCCCGAAAAATCAAATCTTCTTCTAGTCAATGATGAATACTGACATATGAAGTGATGTACAGTTTTTTTCTCATCCACAGAGCCCTAACCCTGACAAATACCATTATAGGGTTAATTTTAATCAAGTTTTCGGAATATATATAGACTCTAATTAATTAGTTTGCGTCTAACTACTGCAGGTAAATATAGGTACATATTATATACTCCACTGTTTCACGATCCTCTTGATACGTTGTACATTTACTCAAAAATGACACTATAAATGTATGTCTCTTTGTAAACTTTTCTTAACCATTTCACACTTTCAAATAAAAGACACTATGCAATTAAAAGAAATACTTAATATCGCAACCATAAATTCCAGCTAACTAAATCTATTACATCTAAACTATAGTCAACAACAACACCTAGGGCTAACTTCATACTTTTATAGTTTGATGACACCTAACATAATAATATATAAAAAAGAATTAATAAATTAAATTTTATTATTAAAAATAAAGTAATTAATTCCTTACCGATTCAAAAGCGCACAAGCCAATAAATGCAAAACTTGCTTGACGGCCAGTACCCTTGCATTCTGTACACTTTGTGACACCCTCCTCCGAACCACCAAGACCCTTACAGCCACCACAAACGATTGTACGCTGATATTCAACTGTCTTAATGACATCACCAGCAAAGATTTCTTCAAGGGTCACCTCAACGCGTACAATTATTTGGAGTGATTTCTGAGTGCCACTACCACTGGGTTGTTGATCACCAGCAAAAGGAAACCATTGAGAGAAAAAGGAACTCTCAAATCCATCAACACCTTCCTGTAGACCTTTAATGCCATAACGATCATAGGTTTTACGCTTTTCAGGATCAGAAAGAATCTCATACGCAAAGGAGATTTCCTTAAATTTGTCACCAGCATCTGGATTCTTATCTGGATGAAACTCCTTAGCCAATTTTCTGTAATTCTGTAAAATAATTTTATAAAATAATTAGTAATTTTAACTATGCTTTATATATCTATATATATGTTTAAAAAACCAGCCAAATGGACGGACGAACGGTTGCATTTAAAATATTGCAATCTTAAATTATAAAAAAATAAAAATTTCAAAAAAACCAAATATCAAAAATTACCGCTAATGCTAATGACATTAAAAATATGACACAATAGATTTTCGTCTCATTAACAGCTTTATATGTCACTTTATTTTGGGGTTCGAAAAAAAAATATTTGATAGGAAAGTTGTTAAGGACTTTCCTGAGGTTATTAACGGACTTTTAATGAGGTTATGATTAGGAATCTATAAACTCTAATTGCTTATTTTTCATAGTATAATATGTGATTAAAAATAGCAACGATACTTATATTACTTATAAATATTATAAATTAGAAGTTAACACAAATCTGTCTCTATACCTATAATTTAAAGATTATTATATTGCAGTTAGTTGATATTTACAATAAATTTTGATGCTGTTCTCAAAAATGTGGATAGTTTGGACGAGACATAGTACTCGTCTCTTAGAAAAGAGAACACCTACAGGCAAAAATCAACAAACTAGTAAAAATCGCGGCTAAAGTTAAACTACGTGCTAATGTTGTTAAAACCAAAACATTTATCTTCAAGAGTACATCAAAACAACTCCATTACCAATCGTGGGTAGATCCATCGAATACATCGATGAGTTCTGGGAAGCTAGGTTAATACACATTGAGGTGCAGCAAGAGATGTGCATAACAGAATATCAAAAGCCAGAATAGCGTTCAGTAATCTTCGTACTGTATGAAACTCAAATAATAGATCTCAACAAATAGAAATCCATATTTACAATGCTTTTGTAAGATCCGTTCTATTGTATAAATCAGATACTTCGTTGGTCAACAGTAAATTATAAGGAAAACTTCAAAGCTTTACCAACAAATGCCTGCGTAATGTTTTGCGAATTTGCTGGCCACATAGAATTTCCAATATGGAACTACTTCAACGAACAAATAAAGTAGATATCAACGAACAAGTCAAGTGTCGGAAATATAATTGGCTTGGCCACGCTCTTCGAAAGCCGTACGACGAAATATGCCACGCAACACTTCAATGGAACACCCAAGACAACATACACAAAGGAAGACCAAGTGATACCTGGAGAAGAACAATAGCAAATAAAACCGGAAAATCTTTAAATAAATTACGTTATATTGCTAGAGATAGAAATAGTTGGAGATTCTATGTAACAAGTCTATGCTCCTGATGGAGTACGTCTAATAATAATAATAATAATAATAATAATAATAATAATAATATATGTATATGAGTGTAAGTTCATCGCTATTGACAATAACTATAATTACTATTTTGTAACTATTTATTTATTACAAAATATACTAATATTATATATAATTATTATTAACTATCAATTAAAAATCATTTATGCTAGTTAAATCCTAGAAGTTCATATTCGGCATTCTATTATATATCGGTATATACGACATATAATAGCCTCTTAATTTTAATATTCTAAATATTCGGAATTACTAAAATATATAATTAAAAAAAATGCTACAGGAATTTAACTTCAAATTTAAAAAAATTTTTTTTTTCATAAAATTAATTAAAAAAATGCTGATTTATTAAGACTCCATTGGGGATTTTCTAAGAAACGAAGATTTTAATGAAATTGGCAACTCTACAATCAACAATTGCTTGTCAAAAAAAAAAAACATTAACAAATTTTATGTTTATGGGATTGTTTTATAAGCATAACATTGTTATCAATGTTTATACGCGCTCTTTTACCCGCTGACAACTGATTGTAGCGTCTAATAAAAAAAAATATACGTAAACAAAATTTAGCCATCAGCTGATGTGTGGAACGCAATTATGCCAAAAAAAGTTAGCAAATACACACATTATAAAAACAACAACTGTTCAATATTCTACCGAAACATTTTCGCAAACAATAAGAATAATTTTGTATGAAAAAACTTATGTCAGTAATATATTGGCGATTTATAGAATTTCATGATTTCGCAGAAGTCACCATTTTTTTAAAGACATTACTTTTAATCAAAACAAACTTAATTCTCCACCCTCAACATAAGCACAATAAAGCTCTTACCTTTTTTATTTCAGCCTCATTAGCGTTTTTGTCAACGCCTAATACTTCATAAAGATCTTTTTCATCCATAGTTATGTACAAGATAAGTTAACGTTTAAAAATCTAATTCTATTACGATAAATCGGAGACCCTATTTACAACAGCTTCATTTCACCAAAACCAATGACAAATATACTTCCACGAAAAGCTACGGCAAAATGTTTGAACGAAAGTATTACCAGCTCAACTTTTTTTAAGATTAATATTCAAAACTTGCTTAACTTTTTTTGAAAGAAATATTTTGCATTATATTTTACATTTGTTTTTCAAATTATCAAGCTACTACGATTAATATGTATCGTAAAAATTCAAATTCAAATGATAAAATCACTAGATCAAACATTTCATAAATATTTATCTAATACGGTGTTTACATTGTGTGATTGAAAGCAGATTAAAGCAAAAATTGAAATCAAAGTACTAACCTCGTTTTTAATCTCAGATTTCCCATACAAAAATTAATCTCCTTTTGGTCGAGATTAGTTTTAAATCTCCTTCAAAATGACTATTATTTCTCAGTGAAACTTTGTAAATGGCTTAATGTCGTATATATATTTACGATCTTAGAAGAATGTGTTAATGTCGTAGATTTTTTACGATCTTAAAGAGATATCTCAAAATCTATTCAAAACAAGCATTAAAAATTTGAGAATTCCGAAGTGAGTGAAATTCGTATTAAATTTATTTAATAATAGTTTTATACATAATTATAACTTAAATTTGTTAAATTATTGTTATAAAACTATTTATTGAAAATATATTACAAATTTTTTTATACAAAATTATAATTAAATCCTTTATTTACAGAAATTTAACAAACGCACAACCCAAAACACTACAAGAGGAACGTCAAAATTAATCTCCAATGTATAATGCAAACGGTGGAGATTAAAAATGCAGATTGACTTAATCTCGTTCTCTTAATCTCACAATGTAAACGTATTATAAGTCATATAGTAAAATTATAAATTTGTTTCCCTACGCACTTATAGTAAAATTGAAATTCTTATAAGAAAAATTCTTATATGAATTTTATTCATTTTGTCTTGTTGCCAAAATATAGAAAGGAAAAAAAACTTGTGAGAGCGACTTGCCGTTCTATATCAACATAATTTTAACTTCACTTGATGAATTTGTAAATATAAAATTTATCCACAATAAGTCGACTAAAGTAAATATCACACTAAGATTTGATCATAGAACTTGTCTGTTGAAATGCGGAATTTGTGGCAAGTGTCATAGATGGAAAGCAAAATATTTTAATTTTTCGTCAAAATTATATATACAATATTCTTTATTATTATACATAAAAATTTTGCATTTTTTGCGTTTTCCATGACAAATTAATTAATTTTTGGCATCAATAAAAACTTAATATTATCTGTTAATAATTAAATTGTAAACAAATGAGAGCTATTCTAACACTGGCATAGAACTTTCTGACACACAAGGTGTCTTTAACATGCATAAATCAGCTTATGTCAATAGAACCGATCAAAACTTAACTTGATTAACATAAATCGATTTAATTGCAGTGGAAACATTGTATATTACAAACAGTCATGTGACAAATGGTCACGGCAATTTTTTGCTATGTTATGCTATGATAATGATCATGTTATACAAGTAAATGATAATGATTATGTTAAATTTAAATGGTAAATATTTTTGTGTAAATATATTTACAAGGGATAGAAGTTTATTCTAATATTTATTAAAATGCAATATTATTTTTAACAAAGTGGCAAGGCACAGTCTTTAGACAGTGACCAAAATTAAATTAAGTATTCTTTCATTTTTAATTTACATTGAGAAAAACAAGAACATCAAATATGATACGACTACGACTCTCTATATAACATAGCCCTAAATTTGAAAGATTATATATCTGAACTAATTATTAAATAAAAAAATTTTCTTCAATATAAGCAAAAAGAATTCCACTTTATTTGAAGGATTGCCTAAAATTACAAAAAATTTGTAAAAGTCAAGAGCATATAAGTTTTTACGATTTTCTACATCGAAATAAAATTGTACAAACAAAAATATTGTATTATATAAAAATTCTTTTTTAATGTTAAAACATAATATTAATATTTATCGTTTTAAAATAAAATATTAAAATAGTAGGTCTGTTTCACGAACTACTCGTGGTAAGAATAAAGTGCAAAATCACGCTCTTAACACAGAATTTCATGGAACAACTTTGTGTAAAGTCTGGTGAGAACACCAATGTCATGCAAATAAACATTACAATAATTTAAATTCAAATCAAAACAGCTGATTCACACATCAACACAAATTTTAATTAAAATGAAATGTACGAGTAAAGTCTTTGCAGCATTTCCAAATTTTAACAGGGAAACTTGAAAGCATCTGTTACGCTCTCTCAAATGCTCTCATTTACTCGAAAGTTTGCTAGTGGAACGCATACACCATGTTACTCGAAGTTACTACGAGTAACTCATGGAACAGACTTAATTTAAACGTTAAATGAACTTTAGCGAAGTTAGTTCACCAAGTTTGTAATGTCAATATAGTATAAAAAACACGATGCTATTTTTTCACTTTGTCAAAACACTTTCATGACTAATTATCCATATATATTTACATATTTCAATAATAATATTAGCTCTACCGATTTTAGTTTACCTATTCTTTACTTATATCGATTTATATAGCAAATTTAAAATTTACCTATAAATTGAAGTAAAACTCATTAAAATGAAATTAATATATATAATGGATTTTCCAATAACAATAATTTATACTATTTCTTCCAATTAGAAAAAATGTCTACATGTTAATATACAACCACAAATGTAGTAAATATTTAGGTTATAAACTACACTGATTTTAATATTTGACAATTCTGGTATGTTGCATAAATAAGAGAGATTTTTTGCGATATAACACAGAGATGCAAAATTATTCAAAATTTCCTTTCAGTTTCTTTTCTTTATCTTCTTTGATATGTATTTTATGTCCTCCTTTATAGAGGTTAGTACTTGTGTGAAGATTGTAAAAAAACTTGCGTGTTCCACCACACACCGTTTACATTTCAACGGCAACAACACTTGCATAAATGTCTCAAACTCAACTATCTGGCATCACTTCACGCATTTCATTTAGTGTTTCTCAAAATGGCAGCGACTATCACGTCATGCAATTGCCACTAAAAATTTCATTTATTGCCTGCTGGCCATAGATTGTTGCTGTGCTTCGGGAATAAGTTGCAAAGATTCTAGTAAAAAAATATTTAAATAATTACGTAAAAAAATCGTGAAGTTGTTGCAAAAATATTTTATAAAAAAATTCCGAAATCTTTTATGCTTATATATGAATTAATAATTTTGTGAAATTATAGAAAATCTTGTGTTGTAGAGAAAAAAAATTTTGTGTGTACCAACGAAGTACTGTGTGAAGCATAATAGAAGATAAACGAAAAACGTGAGAATCCGTGGCAAAGTGGATAAAGGGTTTTTGTTTACACTAGATTAGTTAAAAAGAATGGAAAATTGCGCTAATGCAAGCATAGATACGCATTTAAAAAATATATATGAACAAGTGCATGATATTGTGGCCAAAGATACAGCGGATTTGTATAAAAACGGTGATTGTTCAAATGGAACGCAGAGTTTCGATTTTGGCGCCGAAATATTGAGAGAAGAAAAAACAATGTCTGAGAACAGTAAGAAAACAAAATTGGAAAACATAAACACAAAAGTTGCGCCAGAAGGTGAATACAGTAATATATCAGTGTCCCCAGTGAAAGTAACTGCAATTTTAAACAAATCAGAATTGGTGGAAAATGATCATGTTAAAGATGATGTCGAAGAAGATCAGGCTGAGCAATATAATGACGACGATGACAGCTACACAACAGATGATAATTCCAGCTCGCAACAAGGTGACCAAAACTCAGATGAGCAATTAAATGATACAATAGAAACGGATGAGTCTAGTACTGATTCAGATTATTCTGATATCAGCGGTTTATCAGACGTTTCTGGACGTGAATGGAAACCTATAAATCCACGTCCCATACATTGGGTACAAAGACAAATACATTCAGGCGCAAATCCACGTGAATTACTTTCACAAATTTTGCCAACCAGTGCACAACAGATAGCACCAAATCTAAACGATATGACACTTTGGCGCATACTAGCCAGCATGCTTTCCGAGCCGCCAAGGCGACGTAAATTAAGCTACATTAACACTTTCGAGGATGTTATCGATTTAGTTCAGCAATCACAAAATATTATTGTTTTAACGGGCGCGGGTGTTTCCGTTTCGTGCGGCATACCTGACTTTCGTTCTAGTGATGGTATATACTCGCGTTTAGCTAAAGACTATCCGGACTTACCAGATCCGCAGGCTATGTTCGATATAAATTATTTCTCTCGTGATCCACGTCCGTTTTATAAGTTCGCACGTGAAATTTATCCTGGTCAATTTAAACCATCTCCTTGTCATCGCTTCATAAAATTGTTGGAAGATAAACAAAAGCTATTGCGCAATTATACACAAAATATTGATACGTTGGAACAAGTGGCCGGAATACGCAATGTGATCGAGTGCCATGGTTCGTTCTCGACAGCGTCCTGCACAAAATGTAAGTTGAAATGTGACGCAGACACCATACGCCCGGACATTTTTGCACAGCGTATTCCAGTTTGTTGTCATTGTCAACCAAATGTTCAGCAAAGCGTCGATGCATCTGAACCAGTTTCTGAGGAAGAGTTGAGACGTTTAGTCGAAAATGGAATTATGAAACCTGACATTGTGTTCTTCGGTGAAGGTATGCTTTTACAAATTCATAAATCTGTTATATGCAATAATATCCAATATAGAGCTAATTACCATATTTATTACATATTATGCTAACTTTGAGAAGCATATCTTAATATATAATTACTTTATTATATTATTTATATAAATTATCTAAATCCTTTATGGATTTAGAGTATATTTTTAAGCCCAAATTCCAAATAAATTGTAATTACATAGGCCTATTTCTTCTTCATCTAATAAGAGATGCTCTTAAGATGCTTTTAAAAAAGTTTATTTTTATTTTTAAAATTTTATAATATATTATGTTATAGTAATTAGTCACTTACTTTCAACAATTATTAAAAATAAAAATTAGCAAAAAAAAACCTAAATAATTTTTAGTTTTTTTGTTTAATATTTAAACTTTAATAAAAATAAAAAAGAATATTTAATTCATATCTGGCGAACTCCAGATATGAACCGAACTCCAAGAGCAATTATCGGGTTAACATCCCGGAGTATATTATATATGCTTAATGTTGTTGTAATAACCCGCTGGGACATGCTTGTGTAGTCCCGTTGAGGTATGCTGAACGGCACTTGGTCGTCGTGGTCGACGAGTGGTTCTGGGACGTAGACCCGGACGTTCTTGGTATATATATGCTTAATAATATGGATAATATAATTTTGTTCTATGAATCAGTCATTGAATAATCACGATGCTTATGAAGAATACACAAATTAGTCAGTGAGATGGTAGGGACTCTGCAGAAACCCCCCAGCCATTAGACTTTTGCTTAAATAATGCTATGAGGGTAGAGAGATTTGTATATTGCCTATTTTATATTTTCTAAAATTTCCTAGTCTACACATAAATTGGGAATTATTATATGTGTATCTACTTACTTGGCTATTACAGGCGTGAGACGTTCTTGGCTGTGTGCAATAGCGTCCACCAGACAGCCCGATCAGTGACTTGCTGTCACCAGTTTGTAGTAGTACTGAGTGCTGTCATCAAATATTAGGCAGTTTATGTTTTAAATTCACACTTCTTCATTATCTCGTTGAGCATATCTATTGTACTACAATAAAATACCCCTAATAATTCTGGGGAAAATACCTTTCTATACTTGGTACTGTACTTTTCTGTAATATTACCTTTACTGTAGCATAAACGCACGTATATTTTAAATTTACTTTACATTTCGATAATACTAGTATTATAACTTGGTGTTATATTGTCTTAAGTTTTCTTGGAACAAATAAATCAGTTTATTATTTTATAAATATTAAATATACAAAGTCTGTTTTAAAGCAAACAGGTCTTTTTACATAAAAAAACAAATAAAAAGTATTTATTTTAATTTTATTAAAATAATCTCTTGGGTTGATACAGTGATTTACGCGGTTAAATAGCATGTCATTTGAGTATTTTATATCATCCATAATGATGTCAGTACAAGCCTCATGACATCTACGTCTATAAAGTACTTTCATTTTATCGGCAAAGGTATATTTCTCATGGTGCTAATGCCATACCACCTTACCGACCCATTTAAATGCCTATAAATGGTCTTACTAGAATACCTATTATTAAAAAGTTCTGTCTACTTTCAAATGCACCTTATATACTGTAGTTATTGTTGTAACCTGCAAAGATCTTCAAGCGGATAACACGAAACGAAAGATTTGGGTTAGATGGGTTAGATTGAATGTATAAGAATAGATTGCCGATAAACATATATACTTTAGTTATGTCCTACTGTGATGAATACACTAACAAAGAGTTCTTGAGTTCTAATAGCCAAAATACACTTACATTGATTCTAAGATGTGACTTCTAGTGATTCTAAGAAATTATTTTAGTTTTATTTTTTTACTATTGTGCAATAATCTAATTGTGGAATCGTTAGAAACCCTGTAGTGTCTACTTCTTTTTCGTTTGCTCCACCTGTGTCCTAGAACTCTTTCCGCTATGATAATTTATTTGGTATTTTATCATTTATAACAAATTGGGTTCATTTTCTATGTAATTCTTAGTTCAAATACGCTGTTCACAATCCTTGCTTTTTGAATTGGAAATTTCAGAGAATTGGAATTGTATCTCTGGGAGCTCAGAGAGAGATTGTTTCTATAAATAAATGTTACAATATTTTTTGGTTTATGTTTGCAAATCTCTTGCGGTTCAATAAACATCAAATAAAAGTAATGTACTCGCTTCCTGACAACTGCAAGACACAACCATAGATCATGTCACATTTATCTTCTTTGCACTTTTCATTCTACAACTTCCAGTATCCTTTGTTTTTATCGTTCAATAGTGATAACTTCAGGATCAGCCAGTATTTAAAATCTTGACATATATTTTGATCCGAATGAGTTGTTTAGATTGCTTCAGACCTTTAATATCAGCAAATATTAGTTAATCAACGCTGTTTAAGCTATTAAAGTGCATAAAATGTTATTCTTTCATAAGCTTCTTTTGAGATATACTTTTAGGTTGTTGTTCTTGTAGTGTAAGATATATATAAGATGAAAAGCACTACCTTTTGCGTCATATCTTCTGCTTATCTAGAGTTACATGTATTTAGAAAGAAGTACTTCAACTAATATATGATACGTTTTTATTTTTAATCATTTCAGTTTCTTAACTTTTATAAAGTAATTTAATGTATTGATATGCTTAATTTTTGACTAATATCGGATAACTTCATATGTGATAATGGATTTTATTATAATACAAATAACCCAGCTTTTTCCATATACAATTAGTCACCTTCAAGTGTTCATTCCATAAAAGCCTTTTAGCATAGATAACTTCAAAATATTTTATGTCCATATTTTTAATAGTGGCATAGAAATTTCACTAACTTAATTAAAATTTCTACAAATATAATGGTAATTTTACTTTCGTTTTGGAATACTTTAGTAGTCTGTGTAGTATTTTCTAGTTTTACCTTAGTACTGAATGATTGAAATATAATAGAAGTTCTTTTAAACTAACAAGACCGACACATAATTTTTGATGATTCCATGAGTGGCTTTGCCGATTTCCCAAATTTGATTCCAAGAGGGGCCGGGGCTACATCCCGGAACCAATCGTCGATCCAGAGTACCAAGTGCCGTTCAACATTTCTTAAAGGGATCACACAAGCAGATAGCAGCGGATTACAACAACAATAACTTCCCAAAGTCACTTCTTTTTCAAGGCAATCAAGTGATTTTCACTATATATTGGTTGTTGTTGTAATAACCCAAGGGAATCTATTGAGCAGATAACATGAAAGGAATTATATATTCATTTACATGGGTTAGGATGTGGGTAGGTGATGATAGTGTGAGGAGCAAGGAAGCAGTTTAAGAGTACGAATGGATTAAGGGTGGGTAAGTGTTCCCCATTGCTTGCGCTTTCCTATACCATAACAGTTTCCTATTTCATCTCATTAAGGAAGTTTTGTCCTTCTTTTATGTGTTTGCCTTTATGTCAACGTTGGTAAAAAGCGGTACTTTAAGTCAACATTTACTAATATTATAAGATCAGCTTAAAATGTTTAATTATATATTTATTGAAAATAAGCATGGGTGAAAAATATCAACTTATGTTAAACAGTATTTTAGCACAATTTTGCTTAGTTCTAGGAATTGCCGGGTTTACATCCCGGATCCACTATTGTTGTAGCCCGCAGGGACCTGCTTGTGTAGTCCCTTTTAGGTGGTGCGAACTGCATTTAGTCGTTGAACTCAACAAGAAGCTCCGAAACGTAGACTCGAACATTCTTGAAACCTCCGGGATGCAGTCGTCTTTTGAGATGACCAAATGTCGCTTGCACCTCCCAACAAAGATTACATAAACAACAATTTTGCGATCTGAATTTCTTTTAAAAAAATTTTTACTTGTTTTTACTTTAAATATTCCAATATCTTTTTTTTTACTAATTTTTGATATCAATGCAGGTTTGCCCGATGAATTTCATACAGTAATGGCCAGCGACAAGGATAAATGTGACTTACTAATAGTGATTGGTTCATCGTTGAAGGTGCGCCCAGTTGCCTTAATACCATCGTCAATACCGGCGAATGTACCACAAATACTAATTAATCGTGAACAGTTACACCATTTGGAGTTCGATGTCGAATTACTTGGTGATTCAGATGTGATTATAAATCAATTATGCCATCGTTTGGGCGCAGAATGGAAAGAAATCTGTTTTGATAATAAAGTATTGTCTGAATCCAAAGCATTGTTGCCTATAGAAGAAGATACCAGCACTGAAGGTGAGGGGGAAACTGAAGATGATGTACAACAAATGCAAGATACTGATACACAATCTACACAATCATGCTCATCAGCAGATATAGCATTACGTGCTGCTGGCGCTTACTCCGATAGTGGTTTTGAATCATCTTCTTCCGGTCTAACTTTAAATAAACCATCACCTGGTAATGAGACTATAGGAACAATAAGACATTTAAAAATAAATACAACAGATCGTATAAAAACAACAATAAACAAAAGTGCAATTAATATACCCGGTCTTCTAGACGAACCAACTGATGCAGTTGATTTCGGTTTAATACAAGAATCCACTTCTTCGATATATTCAGAAAGTTGTCGTCATTTATCTATCGATTCTTCTAAGGATAGCGGCATACAAACCGATTCATCAAATTCCGCTTTACCACCAGCACATAACACTGATGCATTGCTACCACCAATAACGAAGTTCGGTGATAGTGGTGGTACAAAAATGACCAATAGTAATGCGTTGCCTCCTGCCAGCACAAATAGTTCAGTAACAGATGTGAAGGAAATATCTTTTGGAAACGTTGAAGATAAGAGAACTGTTAGAGATACTGGACGCAATTTAAAGCGTATACGCCAGGAAAAAAGACAAAGTGCAGCAGAACGTTTAATGCCTGGCACTTTTTATAGTTATGATGGCAGTGCTTCATATGTATTTCCAGGTGCGCAAGTCTCTTGGTGCACAGACACCGATGATGATACTGAATATGAGAGTGAAGAAAACGATGATAATGAAGAAAATGAAGAGAACGATGAGAATGAAGAAAATGACGATAATGAAGAAAATGATTTTGAACAGGATGAAACAAGCGAAATTGACGTTACCACTATTCAAACTAATGTTGCAGATAGCAGCAATACTAAAGAACTATATACAAATCTAACACCTCCGCATAGTACAATTGATGAGTATAAACTGCAAACAACTACCACAGTAATACATGTTTCAAAACCCACGACACGTAAGCGTTCATCAACGGATGGCAATGGTGTTTGTGATGAATCAACTGCGGAAAATAACTACGTTATGTTGATGCAGGAATCTAAAATACTAACTGAACCCAGCAGTTCATCAATTACATGTTACTCGCCTCCACTAAAGAAGCAACGTGACAGCGTCGAAGATGTCACCAGCGATGGTGAGAACAGTAGTAGCAGCAATTCAAGCAATAATTCCGATGATAATAGCAACAATACCTTAATCTTAAACAATAATGGTAAAAACAATTCCAAAACTAGTAATAGCGATGATACGGTTTTAAGTAGCAATAGTAACGAACATACACTGTCAAAGTTTGGAGTGACCAAATCTTTACTGCAGCAACTTTAAAACTAATTTCAAATAATTTAATTCATTTTAAAATTATTATTACTTTCTTTGAATTGTTTACCTAATATAAGCTGCACTTTGTAGTAATAAATTTTTTAAGAAATATAATGGCTTGTAGTAAATGTATGTTAGTATGTCTAACGTTAAGTTGAAACCATGTTTCGCTTATTTATGTTTAGTAAAATTTTAATTAAACTCATTTTGACAATAGAACTTTTTTGTTTTAAAGCTAAAAAAATGGAAAAAAAATTTTTTGAACTGCAGTGTTGAACTTGCATTTTTGTAAATAATCTTTCATCATTCAACTACACTGCAGCTTATTTTTTTTTATTAAAAATCTCATTATGGCAATATATTTAATATTTATGCTATTAAAAATATTCACTTGTTAAAATTTGTTTTAAAATTGTTAGTGTTCAGTTTGTATAGTTTTGAAGCAAAAAAGTTCTAATTCATAACCTTCGCTTAACATAAACCTATTGAAATATACAAATTAAATTTATATATTTTTATTATATATTACCTTACTATTATTATAAAATAATTTATTATATTATTATACATATATTATACATTTAAATTATATAATATAAATGTATATATAAAAATATTAAATATTTTATGTAATATAAATATTATGTATTTTATATAATATAGATATTATATATTTTATATAATGTAAATATTATATATTTTATATAATATAAATATTATGTATTTTATATAATGTAAATATATATTTTATATAATATACATAATATATATATATATATATATATATATATTATTATATATATATATATTATCTAATATTAATACTATATATATCTATATAAATATATACATTATCTAATATAAATACTATATATATATATATTGTGTAAAATAAATAAATATATTATCTAAAATAAAGATATATATTATCTAATATAAATATTATATATATTATCTAATATAAATATTATATATATTACCTAATATGAATATTATATGTATTATCTAATATAAATATTATATTTTTTATCTAATATAATTATATATATATTTTATTTAATATAAATATATATATTATCTAATATAATATAATATAAATAAATGTATGTATATATGTACTATATATATTATACACTAAAATGCTTTTAAAGGCAGAGCAAAAAGAGGTTAGTTTTGTATGCTAAAACTTGATTAAAGCTTATTAATTTTTAATTAATTAAATATCACAAATATTACTTTAAAAATAATTTTATTATGTTTATGTATATTAAAAATATGTAATTATATAAACATCAAAATATCTGTAATTATGTTAAATTTTTGTCTTGTTTTAATTGCTTTAAAATGATCAGTTCAATATATAGTATGCACATATTCATGTTTATATATATATATATACATTTTCGTATGATATTTTTTTTTCAAGAAAGCATTTTTTTTTTTTTTGCTTTGTTATAATAATGTAATCTTTGTGGTAACTTATAATCAATTAATAAATACTATTTTATTTTATTTGAATAAGCATAGAAAATAACCTTTGTTTAATAATATATTAATTTTAATATATTATGATTTATTATAATCATCGGTTTAAGTGATATTTTTTTTTTCGCAAAACAGAAATTATTAATTTATTAAAGAATTATAAGTTAAATCATTTATTTTTTTTTATATATTAATCTTTCGAAATTAATACATTAATTATATGAGTAATTCAATATACAATTAATTAATTTTTGATTACAGTTTTATATAGTTCATTTATATATTTTTTTATAATGTTTTTTAACTTCATTTTATTTATATTAATTTTTTTTATTGAATTTATTTATTTTTATTTTATTGTATTTATTTTTTATTTCATTTGTTGTATATATTTTATTTATTTTTTTAAAATATATATAAATTTTTTTAAAAAAATATAAAAATTCTATTTAAATATATATAAATTGTTTTAAAAATATATAAACATTTTTTCACAAATATATGTTTTTTTATTTTATATGAATTTTGTTTTTAATTTACATGAATTTTTTTTTTTAATTTATATGAATTTAATTTTTTTTTTTATATGAATTTATTTTTTTATTTTATATAAAATTATTTTTAAATTTTATATGAATTTATTTTTTATTTTGTTTTGTTTTGTTTTTATTTCATTTATTTTTTTGTACATTTTTAGTTATTTTTTTATATGTTTCTTATTTAGTTTTTTATATATTTTTTATTTAGTTTTTTATATATTTTTTATTTAGTTTTTTATATATTTTTTATTTAGTTTTTTATATATTTTTTATTTATTTATTTTTTTTTATAAATATATACATATTTTTAGAAAAATTTTTTATTCTATATGAAAGTAAATATAATTTTATATAAATATGTTTTTCTATTTTTTATAAATATATTATTACATTTTTAAATAAAATTTTTTTATGTGTTATAAATATATACATTTTTATTTTATATAAATATATTCTTTTATTTTTATATTCATATATAGTTTTTTAATTTAGTTAAATATGTATTTTTTTTTTTGTTTTATATATATATACATATTCTTATTTTTCATAAATATGTTTTTATATTTTACTATCGTTGAGAAAATTATTCATTAATTCTGTTTGTGATTTCGAAACTAATCATTTGCATTATAAAAAAAAATTTAACAAATTGAAAGGTTTGAATAATTATAACGTATGTAATTTCTAAAATACTCAATTTTAATTTTGTAATAAATATTTTTATTAATATTTTTATAAACAAAATTCATTAATGTCAACTTATTCAAAAGAAAATTAAAATATATACTCTTTTTACTTAAATTTGATTAATCATTTTAAGTTAATTATGTTTGAAAAAATTTTTATGTTACCTTTTAATTAACCTCATAGAATTTAAAGTTCAAAGATTTTATACCCCAGTAAAATAATTATATGTGCAGTACTTAAAAACTAATTTAAACTTCAAAAAATTTTGTTAGGGTGAATTTAGTTTATTATTTGTTTTTATGTTTAGTAGTCTAATTAAAATAATAAAAAAATTTTATTCAAATTAATTTTTTTTAAGAGAAAAATTAACTTTATTTTAAATCTTCATAGAAAATATTTATATGTGCAATTCACATTTTTTGCTAAAAACAATTAAATATTTTATGTGATTTAATTTTTTTTATTTTTCAATAAGGTGATGTGTTTCCATTATTTATTTTTATTAACTGTATCCTAAGTGGCATTGAATCTACCAATTTTTTTAATAGTAGGAGGTCAATTTTGGCCCATTCGTCCAGTATGTCCTTTTTCAGCTCTTTAGGAGTGTCGTATTGCTTCGAATAAGCATAATTATTGGCACTAAGGATACACCAAAGATCCTCAATTGAATTTATGTCAGAACTCATGGCCGGCCAATCTAGCAATGGGATGCTTCTCTCTTCAAAGAATTTCTTTTTGCACAAGAAACATGTATTGGAGCATTATCCTGTTGGAAAGTCCAATTATCTCAATGAATATTTTCAGCGAAATTTATCAGTTCGCTATCCAACAGATTTATGTATATTTCGGAATTCATTTTTGATAGTGCGAAGCATATATTAGACTTTTCCTTCGAGCTAAAGGCAGCCCACACCATTAGTGAACCACCACCATGGTTGCGTTTGTTGCAATTCTGACGTGGATGACGAATATCTCTCCAATATTTATGTTGACCATCTGGACCATCTAGATTAAACTTTTTTTCATCACTGAAAACAACTGTTTCGAACTCCTTGTCTCAAAACTTAATTTTGTCATAAAAAGCTAAACTAGCATTTTTAAGTCTTTGTGTAAGGCACGGTTTGGGAACTTTCGACTCATATTTTAGCTTTAAGTCGTTTTTCATAATTTGTTGCACGCATTTCCTAGTGATAGACAAATCTAATTCATTTCTTATTTGTCTGCAACTCATCCTCTCATTGGTAGCAAGAAGCTGAATATGCCGTTTTGTTCGGTTGTTCATAGTTGGTAAGCGGCCGTCTCGCTTATAACACCATAGTTTTCGAGATTTTTTAAAAAGTTTATTATAGTATTCAGGTGTCTATAACCAGCAGCAGATATTTCGCCACTTTTCATCCCAGCAAGACTCATTCCAATAATCTTTCCGCACTCTTCACTTGAAAATTCCGTCCCACGCGGCATATTTTATCTAAATTAATTAAAATAATAAATATTTATTAATAAATAAGTATTTTACTTACCAATTCTTCTTTACTCTTCAATACTTTAAAAAAAAAACTTTATAATACACTTCACAACTTTATTTCCATTTACTGTTGACACTTCGAGAAGCAAAACAATTTTGCACATATAATTATTTTCTATTAAATTTGCTACCTATTGTTATTAATTATGATAACGGTACCACAAATAGTATACAAAAAAAACTCTATATATGTTTAGAAAAGTTAAACTTAACTACAGAATCAACTGTATATAAAAAAAATTAGTACCATTATTCTAAGAAGAGAATAACGAAAAACAAATTTTGCACATATAATTATTTTACAGGGGTATATACAATATGCTTTCGATAATCTGGAAACTCAATATTCGATATTCGAAGACCATCTTCATTATAAACTATATAATCCAAACACAATAAAAGTATCATTATCTTACAAATTAAAATATAATTTAATATAAAATGTAATAATTAATTTTATTTTTGTATTTACTATTGTTTATACTTGAGTTGTTCTATAGAAATTTTTGAGTCATCGTTCGACTTAATAGTGTTCTCGGTTTATTCTGTTCGGTCCCGTATGCTCAGCACAAATGTTTAATGACAATAAACACAATAATTTGTGTTGAGTAGTATAGAATATTGTTTGTGTGTTTATATATTTATATATATATATATATATATATATATATATATATATATATTTCTTAGCTAAGTTGTGCAGTGCTTGCATGTCTAAGTGAAGAAGTTTAAATTTATAATTAATGTCAATTTTTTCAATGTTTGATTATATACGACGATAAATAGATTATTCGATGGTTGTACATATAAATGGTATTTTACTACGTTATTAGTCTAGATTAACAATCTATCTGCAATCATTTGAAACATATTTCTACAGGTTATTCGAGAATATACTGTATATATATTAGTGTACATTAAGTAGACGTCCATTATAAGGAACGCCTAATGAATGTCCAATTTAACGAGAAAATTTTGTCGTTCGAAACATGTA